GCTCCCGGAGAGCCCGAACCCACCGATCCCGGAGAGCGCGACCGGATCCATCCCGGTGCTCCCGGAGAGCCCGAACTGATCCACCCCTGGGATCTCCATCGGATCATTCCCCGACATCCCGACCGGACCCTTCCCGGCGCTCCCGGAGCCCCTGAACCGACTGATCCCAGAGAACCCCAACGGATCCATCCCGGGAAGCCCGACCGGACCCTTCCCGGTGCTCCCGGGGAGTCTGAACTGATCCATCCCGGGAAGCCCGACCGGACCCTTCCCGGTGCTCGCGGAGCTCCCGAACCGACCCCGTGCCCCGGACCCATCCCAGAGCCCCCGAGCCGAGCGATCCCAGCGATCCCCGCCGGCTCCATCCCGGCGCTCCCAGCGATCCCGGCCCATCCCGGCGCTCCCGCGGGACCGAGCCCACCCGGGGCCGGGGGTCCCCCCGGGATGACGAACCCCGCGCTGCTGCCGCTGCTCCTGAGCACCCTCGGGGCCATCGCAGGTGAGGGGACACGGGGGGGACAGCGGGGGGACAGCGGGGGGACCCCGAGCGGGGTGACGGGGACCTGGAGCCCCCCCGGGACCTGGAGCCCCCCCGGACGCATCCTTGGCGCGACACGCGTGTTGTCGCGTGTTGTCGCGTGTTGTCGCGTGTCACCGGCGCGACCTTTGTCACCGCGGGCGCGTCACACGCGTGTCCCCATCCCCGCCCTGTCGCCGGGCCCGGGGGGGGCCGGGATGGGGGTCCCAGAGCTGTCCCACACCCCCCCTCTCCCCTCGCCCCCGCGGGGCCGAGCCGGGAATGTTTGTCCTTGCGAAATCCCTGGAATCAGCGGGAATTTTTTTTTTCCTCCCTCCCTTCCTGGCGCGGTTATTCCGGGAAAGGGCAGGACGGTTCCCCTCATGGTGGGGGGGGGGAAGTCACAGCGCTCCCGGGGAATCCCCCGGCCCGGGGCACTGACTCAGCCCGGGGGGCTTCCTCAGCACCTCGGGGGCTTCCTCCGGACCTCGGGGGCTTCCTCAGCACCTCGGGGACCTTCCTCGACAGTTCCAAAGGGCTTCCTTGGCAGTTTGGGGGGCCTCCTTTGCACCCCGAGGGCCTTCCTCCTCACCTTGGGGGGCTTCCCGTGGACCTCAGGGGCTTCCCGTTCACCCTGGGGGGGGGGGTTCCTCTGCGGCCTGAGGGGCTTCTTCTGCATCTCGAGGGGCTTCCTTTGGACCTCGGGGGCTTCCACCTCATCTCGGGGGCTTTGCCCTGGGCCTCGGGGGGCTTCCTTTGCACCCCGGCGAGCTCAGCCAGGGATGTTTTGCTGGAAAAACGTTGGCACACAGGGGTGGGGATGGACCTGGGGGTCCCCTCGACCTTCCCTCTCCGTGCTGGGATGGGGGTGATCCCGGGGGTCCCCTCGACCTTCCCTCTCCATACTGGGATGGGGGTGATCCCAGGGGTCCCCTCGACCTTCCCCTTGCTGTGCCAGGGCGGGGATGGTCCTGGGGGGTCCCGTCACCCCCTCCCGACGGTGTCAGTGAGCCCCAGGGGAGGGTCCCCTGGAATTCCGACCCCCCGGCTCGTCCCGGCAGGGCCGTGGGGCTCCTCCTTCGAGCTGTGGACGGAGCCGGAGGTGCTGGTGGTGGAGCACGGGGGGTCCCTGCGGCTGACGCTGAGGGCGACCTGCAACGACTCGGCGGGCTCGGGGGGGATGGAAACGGCCAACAGGAAGAAAACGCGGCCGGTGAAGCCGGGAGAGGTGGAGCTGGAGCTGCTCAACGTCACCGAGGGGAAGCCCGTGCAGGTTTATTACACGTGCGACGGGAAGAGGGAGAAGAGGGACGTGCAGCTCATCGTCTACCGTAAGCACGGCGGGCGCGGGGGGGGCCCCACCCGGACACCCTCGGGTGCCCCCCTCTGACACCCCCGGACACGCCGTGTCCCCCCAGATGTCCCCGAGCGGCCGGAGCTGGCCGAGGTGCCCCCGCTGGCCGCGGGGCAGGCGTGGGAGCTGCGCTGTGCCGTGGCCGGGGCCGCGCCCGTGCGGAACCTGACGGTGAGGCTGCGGCGCGGCCGCCGCGTCCTGAGCGCCCGGAGCTTCGGGGGGGCCGGGGCCGGGCCCGGGAGGGTGCAGGTGAGCCTCGGGGGGACGGCGGCGGCCCAGGACGACGGGCAGAACGTCACCTGCGAGGCGCAGCTCGACCTGTCGCCCTTCGGCCCCAACATCAGCGTCACCTCCGAGCCCCGCACGCTGCGGGTCTGTGGTGAGCCGTGGGCGCCTTCCAGGGTTTTTTTTTTTTTTCCGGGGGGGGTTTTTTTTTCCGGCCGCGGTTGTGGCCGCAGCGCCGACGCTCGTCCCTGTCACCCGCAGACGTCCCCAAGCCGGCGCTGAACGTCTCCAGCACCACCCCGGCCGCGGGCTCGGCGCTCGCCGGGCGCTGCTCGGTGCCCCCCGACGCCTGCACCGACTTCCAGGTGCGGATCCTCCTCGGGAGCCGCGTCCTGGAGGGGTGGGGACCGTCCCCGCGGGACTTCGCCGTGACGGTGGGCGAGGAACACGACGGGAGGGAGCTGAGCTGCGAGGCCGAGCCCGCCCGGCCCCCCGCGGCCCCCCGGCCCCCCCGGAGGAGCGATCCCACCCGCATCGCCGTCCACGGTGAGGGCGCGGCCCCGGCGCCGGTCCCGAGGGGGAGAATTCCCGGCGGGAATTAACGCGGTGTCCCCGTTCCCGAGGGGAGAATTCCCGGCGGGAATTAACCCGTGTCCCCGTTCCCGACGGGAGAATTCCCAGCGGGAATTAACGCGGTGTCCCCGTTCCCGAGGGGGAGAATTCCCGGCGGGAATTAACGCGGTGTCCCCGCCCCGACTCGGGGAGAATTCCCGGCGGGAATTAACGCGGTGTCCCCGCCCCGGCTCGGGGAGAATTCCCGGCGGGAGTTAACGAATTCCCAGCGGGAATTCACGCGGTGTCCCCGTTCCCAAGGGGAGAATTCCCGGCGGGAATTAACGCGGTGTCCCCGTTCCCGAGGGGGAGAATTCCCGGCGGGAATTAACCCGGTGTCCCCGCCCCGGCTCGGGGAGAATTCCCGGTGGGAGTTAACGAATTCCCGGCGGGAATTAACGCGGTGTCCCCGTTCCGGCTCGGGGAGAATTCCCGGCGGGAATTAACGCGGTGTCCCCGTTCCCAAGGGGAGAATTCCCGTCGGGAATTAACCCGGTGCCCCCCCCGGCTCCTCCCGCAGCCCCGGCCCGCCTGGACGACGGGGGCTGCCCCGGGCAGCAGAACTGGACCGAGGGGCGGGAGGAGACCCTGCGGTGCCGGGCACGGGGCAACCCCCGGCCCGACGTGAGCTGTGCCAGGGACGACGGGCGGAGATTCCCGCCTGGAATTCCGCGTCCCGTCACCCGGGGGGACGCCGGGACCTACCGCTGCCGGGCCCGAAACAGCCTGGGTGAGGACGAGAGGAGCGTCACCGTCCACGTCCACTGTGAGCGGGGGCGGCCCGGGGGGCTCCGGGGGGGTCTCGGGGATTTTGGGGGACTCCTGGAAGTTCTGGGGGTAGCTCAGGGATTTTTGAGGGACTCCTGGAGGTTCTGGGGGTGGCTCAGGGATTTTTGAGGGACTCCTGGAGGTTCTGGGGGGTCTCAGGGATTTTTGAGGACTCCTGGAGGTTCTGGGGGGTCTCAGGGATTTTTGAGGGACTCCTGGAGGTTCGGGGGGGGCTCAGGGATTTTTGAGGGACTCCTGGAGGTTCTGGGGGGTCTCAGGGATTTTTGAGGGACTCCTGGAGGTTCTGGTGGGTCTCAGGGATTTTTGAGGGACTCCTGGAGGTTCTGGGGGGGCTCAGGGATTTTTGGGGACTCCTGGAGGTTCTGGGGGGGTCTCAGGGATTTTTGGGGACTCCTGGTCTAGGGGTTTGGGGGTTCCCAGAGGTCTTGGTGCTCCCGGGCATCAGTGATGGTCCTGGGGGTCTCAGGAGTCCTGGGGGGTCTTAGGGGTGTTGGGGCTCCTGGTGGTCCTGAGGTCCTGGAGCTCTCAGGGGTCTCAGGATTCCAGGGGCCCTCAGGAATCCGGGTGGTCTCAGGAATCCGGGTGGTCTCCAGCGCCCAGAAGGATCCGAGTGTCCTGGGGGCCCCTGGTGCTCCCGGGGGGGTCTCGGGGGGTCCCCCCTGACCCCCCACCCCCTCTCCCCTCCCCCCCCAGACCAGGACCACAACGTGCTGGTGCCGGTGCTGCTGGGGGTGCTGGGGGTGCTGGGGGTCTCCGGCCTGGCCCTGGGGGGCCACAGGATCTACCACAGGCAGACGAAGATCGGGAAGTACCGGCTGCAGGAGCAGCAGGAGCGGCGGCGGCGGCAGATGGAGCTGGGGCGGGCGGGACCCCCGGGCTGCTCCGGGGAGGTGGCCGCGCTCAACGGCTCCGCTCCCGACGCTCCCGGGGCTCCGTAGGCGGGAGGAGGAGGCGGCGGAGGGGCCGGAACCCCCCCTGCCCACCCCGGGACGGGGACGGGGACAGCGGGGACAGCGGGAGCCGCGGCGGGGCGGCGGCTCTGAGGGGGGACCGTCCCCGGGAGAGGGGGGTGGCAGCTCCCGGGCCGGGATGTGCCCGGAGGGGCGTCCCGGGGAAATTGGGATGGTGAGATCCCACCAACACCCCCCCCCGCGTCCTCCGGGGATCTCCAGGGACGGCTCCGAACTTGACCCTCACCTGGTTTTGGGGTGGCCGGAGCCCCCCGCCAGGGTGACACCGGGGGGGGGGGGGAGCTCGGAGCTCCGGGCGGGACACGCGGGCGAAATCCCGGGATTTCGGTGCCGGCAGGAGGGCGAGGAGCCGGAGAGGAGGGACGTGAAGCCACCGGGAAGGGTGGAAGCTGCTGTTGTCGTGTAATAAAACCCACAAACGCTGCGTGTGACCCGGTTGGGGGCCGGGGCACCGGACCGGGGGGGATTTTGCGGGCCCCCGGAGCGGGAGCGTGCGCCGCCCCCCACACACACCCTGTTCCTTCCTCCCGCCACCATCATTTCCTCCGGCCCTGACGAGGCCTGACAGAGGGTTTGGGGGGCCGGAGGGGCTGGGGGGCCCTGCCGGGATGGGCGGCGGGATCGGGGGCTGATCGGACCCTCGGTGGGGTGTCCCCGTGTCCCCCCGTTCCCTGCCCGGAGCCGGGATGGGATCCTGGAGGGGATCCCGGAGGGTCCTCCCGGCCTGGTCCCTGCCCGGGCTGCTCCTGCTGCTGTGCGGTGAGTGCGGGGGCCCCGAGCCTGGGGGGGCACATGGGGGGTCCCTGGGGGGTCCCATCTGCATCCTGACCTGGGGGGGACAGTCTGGGGATCCCTGGGGGTCCCATCTGCATCCTGACCGGGGGGGGACAGCCTGGGTGTCCCTGGGGGGTCCCATCTGCATCCTGACCGGGGGGGGACAGTCTGGGGGTCCCTGGGGGTCCCA